CATTAAACTTCCATGGATGGAGTAATAAATTAAGTTTAAGCTGGGTAGCCTCAATTAAGTGAGAGTCCCGTTATGTTTTGTTCTCAGCAAGTGACTCCCAGATAAGAAACGAAGGCTAATTTGATTCTACTCCCAAGATGTAAACTGACTCGAAGGTTTGCTGGGTCGATGCAGCCTAGTTACAAGTTAAATGAAATTGTTTTTAAGGCTGCTCAATATGTTGAAGAGGAAATGGAATATTCTTGCTGGTCCAGTTAAATGAACTTTCTCAATATGGACCTGTCACGTGTCTGAAGCCCAGGGAGGCGTCCGTTTATGCAAAAGCTTTTTGATCATGGGCGTTGCCAAAGAACCTCTTTCGTTCTCACTATTCTTTCGTTCTCATTCTTATTGTAATCGAACATTCTGGCATCATATTTTCCGGATGCTACACGTGTCTTTTCGAGCAAATACATTAACAATCGTACGATTTCATTGATTTCCTCCTCTTATCATCTCTCTTAATATGGAAAACAATCTAATTATTTAAGCTTAGAACGTACTTTATATTATTCTTTATCTCTCTATTAACTTCCCTTTTGAAAACAAGATTTTGAGTTTGATTTAAGAATATTTAAAGACTTGGCTGAGACATTCTACAACTCAAGACACTTTTCCGTATTCGCTTTTATTGCTTTGAATACTTACACTAGAACTATATACCTTTCCACGTGACAGCTGTGGACATTAAAAATAAGTATCTAAAACTACTCATCAACACAGAACGAAACATTAACCAATATGGCTATCAAAAGCAATAATGATAACACATGTCGTCACAAATAACGTGGAAAGTATTTTGTGTTTCAAAGCTGGTTCGTTTTATTCTACAGCCATTGAAAAGTGAGCTGTAGTTTGCTAAACTCTTTTAGACACTATCACTTGCATTCAAACACGGTTTACAGCGATCAAAAGATAATTGAATCATCCGAATCTCCAGATGCGATATGTTACAAGAATGTTTTTCTCAACAGCTATTCTTTATACAATAACTTTCATGAAATCTTGAGAAATCTGTACCACTCATTATTGCAAGTTTACACTTACAGCCCAATCTAAGACTGTTTTATAGCCAAAGTTTCTTAAAAGGCCTGTAAAGATTTTCATCACTAAATATGTTGCCAAATACACTCACAGTTGCTTGAGTGTTATCTAAACTAATAGAGGAAGAACCCTACAGATTTGCTTTGCCCTACAATGATAAGAGTTGCATAACCTTTTGAGTAAAACTACAGTCACTGGCTACAATTTTCTTTGAATATAGTGATAATAATAGCGATTATAATCGTGAATATTTACAGAGCCAAGCTTAAATGAGGCTTTTCGCAAAATAAATATTGTAAGAGGTAAGTCTTATAAAGGAACTTCCATTCCAAATTCTAGTTGGACAATATTAAAAAGTATCATTAGTTGATAGCTAGCCCACTTATCGTGGTTATGAAAACTAATGTGGTTGGTATAACTTAAAGGAAAGAAACTTTGTTTTAAGTATGCTCCTACAGTTGAAGTTATTTGCTTCACTTCAACAAAATCGCATTTTACCAGTGCAATATCTAGTTCATGAGATGCAATTCTGCGGATGGTGTAGTAGGAATTAACAGTATCGGATAAATAACAACGACAATGTTTGACTAGCGTTCTCGACCTTTCATTTGCAATGGCTCGATCCACAATATTTTCTGGATTCTTTCATGCTGATTTGGTTCACCTCGATTTCAAAATGTAATGCAGCCAATATATAAGAGCAAATCACCATTGACGTGGAATAAAAGATATTTGTTAAAGGAACCGCTGATGGTAAGCTCGTTATTATGAAACCCCAAACTTACAAGATGAGACAGAGATCGTGCAGCCTGATAACACTTTATCTCAACTTTCTTGACGCAAAACCAAGCTCCAAGTACAAAATAGGGTCAGAAATCTTGGCTCTAATCTTGGCTAGCCTCGGCTTGCCATTTAGATCTGGAATTATAACAGTCCTTCATGAATCCCTTTCACATGACCGTAAACAAAACTTTAAAGATAATTCAGAGTATTTGTATTTGATCTCAAGTAAATTCAGACTGACTCGTGCGTTTGTATATGAATAATGGGACACGGTGCAAAAGTTTGAGGCGTTAACGGAGATTTGTAATCTAGCAAGAGGCCAGAGTTTTATATTGTGAGGAAAAACTTTGTTCACGTAAACGGGTGGACTTGAAGGAAGTTAAATTCTTAGTGGCAACAACTATGATTTAGTAATTGTAAATAATTGCCTATATGTTATATGATTGTTAGTTTTAAGAATTCTTATGTTTCAGCTACTTATTAGCGAAAGACCTGATGTTTTGCTGCAAAGCTGAATCACTATGAAATAGAAATCGTCACGGTCTAGGTAACTTGCTTCAATAACTAGAACTAGCAATAGCTGCAAAAACCAAATATCTTTATTTCTACTTCAGTAGATCAGACATTCTACATAACATGAAAAAGTGTCTGAAATGTCTGGGTTTAAGGCAAACTCTGTCCTTGATGCTAGCAAAAATGGCTTAACACTGCCATCAAATCATTTGCTATTTAGCTGATTGAAATCAACCATGTAGAATCAATAATCACATATTATCTACAAGACCATTGCAATGCAAGAAAGGTCCGTCCAGGTCCCTGTGCGAGTCTTTTGAAGTTTACTAGACTCAATAATCGACTTAAGTCACTAGGGGTCCGAGGGCATGACTTTGGCAGTCTATGCAAACCAGTGGGAATCAACAGACCATTTTCAAAAAAAACAAATCTCATTTTTGGTCGACTGTGCAATACTCTTAATAGAAGGATTAAAACTAAACTAAACGACACTAAACTTTGAGGACGCTCAGCGTCTCAATTCATTTTACCAAGGATCATCATTCATTGATGATCCAAAAAGTCTCAAAGCAGCAAATCATAAGAGTATTTTAAGGTTAGGTCCACGTGACAATGCTCCCTTTAATGGATTTTGTGGATGAAAATTAATTATAAAGCTACATATATATTTATATATATAATTTCTCTAACTATTTGAGAGGTTTTACAATTGAGTCTTTTAATCTCTTGCAAATTAGCAATCTTTGAAAGGACAAACAGGTGATTTGGCACTAGTTTAGGATATTTTCAATTCAGGTTGTAAGTTTGCCCCCAAGTAACTACTGCTGACTATTAGGAGACACAATGCAAAAATTACATTGCAATTTCAATGTTTTTGAGCAAAAGGCAGAAATTGCCTTTTTATGAAAAGCTTTACAACCTGTATGGAACTAATTAGATTAAAAACAAAATACCAAAATTGATGATCACATAATTTCATGTATTCAAAAATGTGCTGCAATTATCCAAATGCTTTTCGTTAGGCCCACTCTTTGGCTTGCTGCTCAATTATTGCCTATGCCCGTTGAGCAAAAATTCTGAGAACAGAATCTCCCATGATCTTCCAATGTTGCCTTTGCTCTTACTGTTGTACTTAGCTCAATGTGATGCACCAGGACAACACTCAAAGCATAATTACAGTGAAAGTAGCAAATACAATGGAAGAAATTTTATATGCCAACCAAATCCTGCTGGGAAATTATAGTGCTTTCCCACAATATGAGTACATTGAGAACAAAACAAGTGTTTAAGGACAATGTTGTTGAAAACAGGGCCACGTTTGCAGGCGTAGGATTTACTAGAATGCTCCCACGCACCAGCCTAGATTCTTTAGAAGCTGCGGGTAATCAGCTTTGGGGCGTTGTCCTCTTGCAAGGCTGGAAGTCAGACTACATGTCGGTAGACTGCAGTTGTCTATTAATGGTTTGTTTATGGTTATGGTTTGTTTACAAATCCATTGATGAAGTCCATGAATGATTTGCATGTAGTTATTTCTAAGGAACCATTCTGAAAATGATCTTTGGAACAATTGAAATGATGTTGTTTTTAAAACTTGCAGATACATAAACATGCTTAAAAATTTATCCAAAAAATAAAGTAAGGTTACTGGTGAGTTATTCTTTTTCTAAACGTACCAGGGGTTTTCACTGATAGAAGTATTTAGATTAGTTCTTTTTAAATTCAACATTTGTTTCTAAGATATGTGATGCATATTTTGACAGCGAAATATACTGAACCAGTAGTTTTATGTCAGCCTTACCATAATGACTTGTCAAAGCAAGAAAGAATCATCTTACTTAAAATAAAGACTTAAAGTGACACGGCGCCCTAATACCGAAAACTTAACCAAAAACAAAAACATAAAAAAAACAACAAAAACGTCAATCATGATGCTCAAAAAAGCAGCAATAAAATTTCAGTAACTACAGCAACAGCAAAAAAATGGCGATACGAGTGCAATAAACCAACTTAACGGCTACCTTCATAAACGGACACCTCCATTCTCCATTAACAGACATCGCTACACAACGGACACTTCTATACAGCGGACTCCTCTATACAACGGACACCTGCCAACAACGGACATATATTTTTGTCCCAATTTTTCAAATCGCTTTTAAAAGCACCTATATAAAACGGACAGTTACTCTGGTCCGAACTGTAACACACTTGAAGTTTTATTACATAAATTATTACAGTTACAAGTCTCGATGCTTCGATAAATTCGAGTGATGTTGATATTAATTTACGGCTTTAAGACACGTGCATGGAATGATCTTAGTTTGATAATGGCCTAACGATCACGCAACAATTCCGCATGCGTGAAATTCCTCATTTACGCCGCAATGCGGATTAAAAAGTCTTGACCTTGGAATAGGCTTACGAGAAGAAGATTGATAATTATTTGTTTACATACACCATAACAATTAGCAGGATGAGGTTAATTTCCGTCGATCTATTATTTATTTTCGAACAAAGATATCCTATTTGCTCTTTTGTTCTGTAGCCATTCGCATATTTCGATACTAACAACGGGTGCAACCAACGCCCTTGTATCTTTTAATAAATATAAAAAGACTCACCGATTGTTTGTTATTAATGCAGCACGTGAAGCTCTGATCGATAACATCTCGCAGTTGAAAGGCATCAGCAAAGTTTCCATTCTTGCAAAAGGCATCAGGAGGGCATACAACTACCTGCAAAGTGTAAGTAGAAGACTTTTCTTTTTATGCAATTAATCTTGAGTAAATAAGCAAAAATAAAAGTGCATATAAAAGGTCAACAATATATTTTTTAAAAAATTTTTGCATCGGTTATCTTATAAACTTGAACCCTTTCGTCTTGAGCTTTAAGTTTTTCTTACAAAAGAAATCAATCTTTGCAGTTTTATGCAATGATTGTCAAAAGAAAGCATTCCCATCACTTTCAATTTTACATTATCTGGGTCAGTTTAGGTTTTTCTACAAATAAGGTGTGAAATGCTGCGCAGCTTTGAATGATTGTTCAAATTCTAAGAAATGATCTGTTACTTTAAGAAATTTTTTTCGATTTTCAAACTTAGACTAAACTTGTATGTTTCTTATCAAAAAAATGTATTGAAAGGAATCGCTAAATGCCTAAAGGTAAAATTCATGAGAAAAAAAACTCAGTACAACTTGAAGACTAATCATGCATTGAAATATATACAATTTCGCGTTGAATTATAAAGCTAATTATTTTCTAATGAAAAACCACATTCAATAACGACATAATTTTTTCTGCTTCTGCTGGGAAAGAGAGAATTAACAATGTACCAGGTTTCGTCATTCATAAGCAAAATCAAATTGTGAGTGAATAAGGGAAAGTAGTTTGAATAAGCTTTGACTGTGTGACAAGAACGGAAACCAAAATGTCATTAACTTTCGTAGAAAAATGCGGAGGAGGGTTACGTAACGTCTGCTCGATAGATTTCTTTGCCTCGCTACAGAGCCCCGTTATCAGAGAGCTGAAAATCTAAAATGCCATATACATAAATTTTGCTAACAAAGGATTCTTGTGTTACTTTCTTTGCTAGTTTTCCTCTTTTGAAGTCCTGCCACTCCAACCCTGCCGCACGTCTCACGAAATGTTTGTGAAATTGGCTAGCACAGGTCTACCAGAAGTTATTTCTTTCTAAATTGTTTATTGGAATCGGTGCTCTCGACAAATTCAAACTTAAAATTAAATCTACTGAACTGAAGTAGTGTAATGACGTATGTATTACTGTAGCGTGTTTAGGAACATCACGTAGCGAGCACGGCATGCGGTAACTAGGCTCGTTCCAAACTCGAGCAAGACGTTGGCCACAAAGACACTATATTACGGAACCTTTCTGTCACGTAAACAGGCACCTGTTAAAAACCACTTATAATCTCTCGTTGACATTGATAAAAAATTTTACCCTATGCAAACATTTAAATGCTTCATAAATGAAAGTAGTAGCAAAAACCGCCAGTTAATCGGGAAAGAGGGAATTTACCTGGAAACGAATTTAAAGATCAATGACATCTAATCTAAATTCAACACCAGGATACCAAGTGTTTTCTGCATTTCCAAATGGGGTTTTACAGAAGTGTTAAGCGCTAGTCCAAAATATAACCAAATAATTTCCCATTCATCCCCACAAAATCAATTGAAACAAGTTGGTAAAACTTCAGGGTTCATTTTCCTAATCATGACACTCAAGTATTCAAATTTCGATAAACATGGTATCAATTCATACTACTGTTTGCTGGGTGGCAAATTTCGGTGACACTAGCTAACTCAGGTTTTGTCACAGATCAAATGCAGAGGGCTGTCCGTTCTATTTTCGAAACGCTGCAAATCCAATTCATTTTTCAATTCAATTTAACCAGCTTTACTTTGCTTATTCCCTTTTAATTCATAAAACCAGAATAACACAGGATAAAGATTTGAAAAGGAGGTTGGCATAGTGAGGTAACGACTGACCCGAGCTGACCCACCCATCGACAGCATGCTTTTCTTGAGGGGCCTAGATAAATCGCATTAGCTTGACGGTGTTAAGTTGATTTGTAACGTTTGTTGTTTGGCGATTAGGCCCGATATTAACGTGACAAGGTTAGTGGATGCTGTTGCTTTTTCTCGACTTAGATACAAAGAGTAAAATACCTTGACCCACTCACGAAATCTACGTCAGGCGTCATATCCATTGATAAGCTGCCACTGCACAGGCCACTCTCAGCCTTACTAAAACCGCGCAAAGAAAGGCTGGTTTCGAATACGCCAACTTAAGGTGCCGGTAAAAAAATGCGTTTTGGTACCCGGTGCAAAAGTTACAAATTTTGCTCGGGTACGTTTTTGCATAACAAAATTGTTTTGCATTCTCGAACCCGGACCGTTTCATATGCTGAATTTCTTCATTTGTCATAGTTGGCACGTTTATACAAAAACAAAAATTGCACAAGCATAAGGTTGACACTGTCTATGACACCTATATGACACTGTCTTTCAACCATTCTCTCTTCGCTCCCCTTTAATTAAAAACCCCCAAATCAAAATGGGTGCGCCCATATCTTGTTTTAGGAAGCCGATATCTGTTTTACGTTCTTTCTTGATTTTCTATATAATTCTTGAATTTCAAAATTACTCAACTGATAATCGGAATAAGCCCAGATTTGAGAAAGTGACGAGATCGTTTACCGAAAGCATTCAAACTTCTGACTTTTTCCGCCGCTGTGCACCTCAGTGCAAAATTGTAGATTAGCTAAGGTCAAAAGGGCAATGCAAAAGACGTCTTCAACCGGCCCGCGCAACTATTAGCACACTTAAGAATAAATCCACGTTTATGAAATTTCCAGGTACTAAAAATATGGTTCTTAAGAAGCTTGGATCAAGGCCAACTTTGAGGTAAACAAGAAGGAGAGAAGATAAGTTTAAGTTTCCAAATGACGTTAGAAAGCGCCTATGGTAAGATTGGCAAGAGGGTGCGGCCTTAGAAGATTTCACGGCACCTAAAAGTAGTGTGGCAGTTGATGCGACCCCGGTAGTTAACAAGTGGCGTTGAGCAATAAAGCAGATCGAAAGGAGAACTTGAATTCAGCGTCACTGACATCGAAAGACGAGACTAATGATATTAACTTCCCGCAAGAGCAGCGCTTCTCTTTGATGTAAACGAACTGCCAGTGTTGCTAGTTTCATTAATATGCCATTTCTGCAGCCAATTGCGCTCTTCAAGGCTATCATTAACCGATGTCTGCTCTTTGGTGCGCGAAATACTATAATCAAAGCACGATGAATTAACTCAAAATCCTGAACTGCGCCAATGGCTCACAAGGATTATGATCAGGTGATCAGACTAAGCGCAAAAACTAATTTTGAAAAGCGTCCCGCAAAACTACAACTATCGATCAAACTTTAAGCTATTTACTATCCTTTATTTCACGCAAGATGAAACCGAAATCTTCAAATTTATAAAAAGATCTGCGCCCAATCATTATTGTGCTGTTTGATCGAAATTCCACTTAGCGTCAAAATAGACGCTCTATCGCCGACCAACAGTCCGTCTTTCTTTTGCCTAGAAATTGACCCTACCTGAACATGCAACCTTATTAATTTTTAAATTTATTGATTATATCACATACATTAACTATAAACAATTTTGTCTTGACAAAATTTTGGACAGATATTTTGATGAAATATTCTTCGACTAGATACAAAGTGAGACGAAATTTGGTCACGATGAAATTTTTTGCATCTAAGATTTTTGAGAATTTGCATAAGAAATCTATTATATGAGGTCAAAAAGCATATTTATGCATTCATTTCAACCTAATCAATGCCGATTTCGTCATTATCCCTATTTACATTGCCTTCATTAGCATCTTCATCGTCGGCAACATCATCATAATCATCATCAGCATTGTCGGTTCTTGAATTAACTTTGTTTCGGCATCGTTCGATAAAAATAGTTTTAATTTTTCTTTTGTCGTCAATTGGATTTCACCTCTGTATTTTTATACTCAACTATAGAATTTCTTTCATTTGCTCGAAGCATTTGCACTTTTCAACCCAAATTTTGAACTCTACAGAAAGCAAAATGTTCAGACGAACTTTTCCTATTGAAGATGGTCTTATGCTTTCCCAATCTTATACCTATATTTTCATCATACTTTTAGCTATACTCTATTCATAAACTTCCATACCATATAGACAGAGAGCAGAGACTCTTTGAGTACTAAAAGCATCTCTTTTGATTTTCCTGAAATGCTGTTCTGTGTTAAAAAGCTGCATAGGCAGTTCCAAACGGTTGCTCAAACCAGGTTCTTTTACTCGGGTTTTTACTATATGTATCATGAAATCCATTGATATAGGAATATCCTTGCCTTCTACTTTTCCAACCAGAAAAACTGTGGTTTACATTAAAATTTGCTTTGATAAAGTATTCTGTATTCGGCTTGGCTCCCTGCCAATAGCTTCACACATGAATTTTGGACAAGAAATTTCCATTATATAAATTAGACGAGATAGGAACACAGTTAGCAAGTTAGTTGCAATGAGGGTGCTATAAAATGATGTTGGTAAAAATGGCAATATTGTGTTTGTTTAGGCTCTCTCTTGCAGCCAAAGTGACCTCGTCCTCCTCTGCCTTTCATCTTTTACATACACTGTACCAGGTTTGCTGTTCAGGTACAATAACCTCGATATGATGGTTTAAATGGAGATTTTTGGCTGATTTTAATGTTTTCAAACATTTATTAACTTATGTCTGCCTTGGAGAAGTTAATCTCTCGAACCAATTTGTGCCACAATGCTCTGTACCACAGTAAAAACAAGATGAGCTTTGCTTATTTAAGAAATACACGGATTAATAGGTTAGGAACGCATACAAACTTACACTTTAACAATAATAATTGCTGGCGCCACATCTCACGGTATTGAATAGGTAAGCCTGGAATGCAAAGCAGGACAGGGGGTTGGGCATGAAAAAGAGTAGCTTATTGAAGAATATCATTGCTAGCATTCTATCATTCCTATTTTCTATATTGCGTGATTATAATCTATCTTGCTTGGTTGACTTGCCTTGTCATGATCCGAAGTGCTTTAATGAAAGCAAGTGCACATTGCGAAGAAGGGGGTAAAATACGTTGTAAAGTTATAAAGTGTATATGGATATGCTTACTGTCAATGCAGTAAGCACATCCATAAATAATATATGGCACAAGAATAA